GATAAAAAATCAATTAGCAGGATACGTTTTATTAAATTCGAAAAAGAGGAATTTCTCTTTATCTATTTTGGACAGGAAAAAAAATCTTATGCAATTACTCCACCTATTCTTTCACCACTTACATCATCATCTTCTTCGCCCAAGCTCCATTCCTTGCCGAATTCTTCGTCAACATTGAAAAGCTTAGGAGAATTACATTTATCGGCTGAAATTGATTTTATTCTACGATATCATAACGATCAGCCCTTTAAAAATCAATTAAACAATGAACACAATGAGCTTAAAGACGACTCACATTCTTTTGAAGAAGAGAAGTGGAAAGTGAACTCTCGTTATGAAAATGGAGTCAGTTCACAACGAGAAGATATAAAAAAACATATAGACGTTCTTTTAGAATATTATGAATCGAAACAAAACAAGCAATTGTTAGTCGAACAATCGTCAACCCATCGATCGTTAACCCAGGATTCGTTATCACCGGAACCGTTAAACGGTAAGCGATATACCTGGACCGTTCAAAAAGCGTCTCATGACAATATATTAGTAGCTGGAATAACAGCTAGACAGACTGCGACGGATGCAGATATAGGAAAAGTAGAAGCATATTTACGTGTAAAAAAAAAAAATGAAATTAAAATAGAATTTCTACTACTTGAAAACGAAGATTTGATGCTGGCCGCCTCCTTTGGAGTACAAATCTGGACAGTAAAAGACGATTCCGTTCATTTGCTTCATTATTGGGGTGATTTGACAATGCATTACAGATTGGATAAGCCGATAGAGGCTATGGTTAAACAACTTATTTTACTAAAGACGAAATTAGAATCCGAAGATTATAAAAACTCGTTGCCTCCTCCGTACTTCGACGAAATACTTAAGCATAAAAAAAAACCTCTGTATCGAGAAGATGGTTTGGATTTCATGCATTCAGATTTCTTGAAAAGATGTATAAGTGACGAATTCCTGGAATTATATGGAAGAGAATTGCTCCAAAAATTAGTTAAAGAGAAAAATTCTAAAAAAAGTAAAAAAGTCTTTGACTCAATTATCAAGCATAGTTTAAATCAGTTTCAGAGGGGCAATATTATTTCTAATTCTACCAACTTATTAGGTACAATTACTTCGAATCTTCGAGGACTAGAATCACTCGACAGATTTACAGAAAGTTATTTATCTTCCACCGCATTTTTAATTCCTGATAATTATAAACGTCTTGTAGATAAATCATCTACCTCAATTTACACGAACCCTTACACCACTTTTCCATTTTCATTTAACGATTCATTTTCCGATCGCCTATGGTTGTGGGTTTCCTATATTTCAAAATTTTTTGAAAAAGATCCTGCCTTATTTCCCAAAAAAACCATCAAGTTAATGATACCTTTATTAAATTTTGCTACCTACCCTGAAAAAAATTATACCATTTATAAAGAGTATATTTATCCACCTGTCAACCCTTTTACTTCATTGAATTCTCCTGAATATTATAAATGGCCGAACGTCAAAGCTCTTGTCAATTTTAAGTGGAACACGTATGGGAGATATTATCATTATTTTATGTGGGCAGTATACACGACATTTTTACTATGCTTTTCCATAGTAGCAACACTTCCACAAAATTTGTCACAGATAAATAAAGACGCACTTTTGTGGACAACAATTATTCTTGGATTTATTCAGTTTACTTACGAGCTTCGACAATTTATCCATGACATCAGACACTATATTACAAGTACTTGGAACTGGTTTGGTTTGTATAATTCAGTATTTATTGCATCATCAATATTTATTATGTTATGAGTTTTAACTTAATTTATTTGCAGATCTCACCGCTATACTATTTCCAACAATAACTTCAATTATGTGGCTTCTTAATAAAAGCCCACCATTATCAGTTATCGCTATATCAATACTTGTAATTGAACTCAAATTCTTAACTTTTTTCCGTGCCCTTGATAATTACGGAACATATTTTGCAATTATAGTCGGAGTAATGAAAAAAATTTCCTACTTTATTGTAATTTTGGGTATCATTGTAATAGCATTTTCCCATTGTTTACACATCCTATTAAGACCGACCACCGATTTTAATGTCAATGAGCCAAGTTACAACGGCGATGATAATAATCCTTGGAATCTTGCTTCAAGATATCAATCAATTTCTTCCGATGGCGTTATTGGAAATTCATCTCTTATTGCAACCCCAAGTGACAGCACAAACTTATTTTCAATTTTTAGTACTGGTTTATTAGCCGTTTATTTCATGTTGACAGGTATTATATGATATAATATTAAATATATGTAAATTACAGTACTAATTTTTATAAATTATTAGGAGACAGAAGTTCAGTCTCGCCATGGGGTTTGAAAGATAATCACACATTGGCGTTTATATTGGTTTTGTTCTCATTTTTTACGGCGATTTATTTAATGAATTTGTTAATCGGTCTGCTTAACACTGCAATCAATGATACAAATAATGAAGAGTCGCTTTTACACCTAAGGGGAGAGGTACGTACATATATGTACAGTATACTGTATATTTATTTAACAATTATTAGGATAGTTATATTAATTATTACTTATAGTTTTTGGCGGAGATTGAACTTTATATGATGTTTGCCCATCAAAGAAGAAACAAAAATTGGTTCCCAGAGATTTTGTAATTTTTGATATATATTTCTTAAGCCTTTTTGCTTCGAATATTAATTGCATCGGTTTATAACACGAAATTTTCTTTTTTTAGATATTACGAGATATCTGTCGAAGAACTTGCAAAATATGTTAAGAAGCTAAGAGATGAGGAAAATGAAGAAATATCACGGCCACGTGTGTCTAGGGCTGTTAGAAAAGTTATTGAACAAAAAAAAATATATGAGGAAGATGATGATGGAAATTAATTTTACATTTAGAAATATGATATTCGTCGTGTTTCTATTAAGAAAATTGTACTTTAGCATTTATTTATTAATTAAATAATCTTTTAAAATATATTTATTTCTCCTATTACCGTACATACAGTATGTTAAAGCTTTATCGTTACGTCAATACTCATTTAAATATCTACAGTAACCACAGTATGTGATTACTAAATAAACCCTGTTCGAAAAATTGATCTTATAACGTGCACAATGACGTACGTTAGTGATCCTAGCAGCAGAGTTTCAGTTACTATTTTGGGGGGCAGAAAAATGCTCCCCGTGCGTCACTCGTGCAGCATACTTACCGCACTGGCGCAGCGACTGTGCAGCACCTGTGCAGGTATGCTTTCGAGTGAAATTTTCCGAATTATGTATGTCACGTAATCTACGATGGTGATCGACACGTAACGGATTTTAGGAAATCGCCGAGAAATTTTAAAATTAAAACAAAAAACCTATACTATAAAATTATAAATGATTTATTAAGGATTTACTTAATTTCTATAAATTTGGCATTATAAATAAATAAATTTCATTAATTAAAAATATGGTTTGACAAAAAATTATTATATTAAAAAAATATTATTAAATAAATAAATTATAAAAAAATTATAACAGTAATAATAATTAAATAATAAGTAATAATATTAAATGATATATAATTTAATTATATATTTTGTAATATATTTGACAAATAAAAAAATTTTTTAATATAAATTATAACAACAAAACTTGTTAAATGCAAAAAAAAAGAATAATTAGCAATTAAATATTTTATAAATAATATTTCTATAAATAATACATTATTTACTATATGTAACAAAGATATATTTAGAAGTAAATAAACAATAAATAAATATAAATATAAATAGAATTTCTATAAATAATATACCATAAACAATATTTATACTTATAGTAATATATAAATGAAATAAATAAATCTAAATAAGATTAACAAGAAAATAAATTTAGAACAATAAAAATATAAATAATATAATGTTTTAATTTTTTTTTTATCTACTTTTTTTTTAAAAGTCAGCAAAGCTAGTTTACTTAAAATTATTTTATCTGTAAAATAAATAATAATATGTTTTTATTAAAAAGTATTTTCTTAATAAAAAATGAATTTACAATAAAATATTAATACTTATTTCTATTGATATACAAGTATATAATTATTTGATTCAATATGCTAAAATTGTAACACAATTAGAAAATTAAATTGAAGATTTAAAAAATCTTTATAATACAAATATTTCAATTTTACAAAATAATCATTATGTTAAAATTGAAAATTTAAAAAATTTCAATATTACTGAACTTGAAAAATTAATTAATTATTATAATAATGAAATTAAAAAATAAAATAATTATCATAATGCTGAAATTGAAAAAATTAAATATGCTCACAATATTAAAATTAATAATTTTATTATTGAAATTAATAAATTAAAAAATTACTATAGTATTATAAAAAAAAAAAAAAACTCTTTCTCCTCTCTCTATACTCCCTTTCCATATCTCTTTATTTCACTTTCCTATCCTCCCCTCTCTCTTCTATATACTTTTTTATACTTTACACTATTCCCTTCATCTTTTACTTTTTTTTTTGTTGAAGCTAGGTTTTCTCTTTTTCCTAGTTTTCTTTTCTAGGTTTCTCTCTCTTTTGAAAACTCTGTCTCCATAACATCACTCCTCTGGCCAGTTGACTCCCTTTTCTCAAAGACCATATTAAGAAGTGGTAACCTTTCTTAGGATGTGAGCTTTAGAAGATTTTCTCTCTTCCATGGCTCCTCAGAAAAAAGATAAACAATTAACTCTCTTCAAAAGATCAACATGATCATCATTACCAAACCTGGCGTTGTTTACCGATTGGAGGTTAAACTAGATACACCCAAGAAACCTCTATACAACTATTATTATCCAAAAGTATTCAAGAAGTTGTGCCCCACAGTATCCAAAGTGAAATGGCAGTCAATATCAATGCAACTAGCAATAAGCTAGATTAGTTGCAGGTATTATATTGGTGATTGGGAAATTTAGTAGAGTAATATGTGATGATCAAAGATTCTAGTTACCTTTGCAACACAAGCTGGTAATGATAACAAAAGTTCCTCGCTTACCCTTTGACAATATAGGTCTATTGTATAAGGTTAGATTCTAGTGTCATTAAGAAAATCAATATGAACTCCACCTATGGAACACTTTTGTCACACTTAAAGCATGAGTATGCCAAATTCTTTTTGTAACTTGAAGGCAAATCTGTATAAAGTGGCTACAGCACCTTCATGCAAAAAGATATTCACTTCCCATCACTATCAACACTACTTTGCTTGCCATATATCAAGCTATATTTGGAAAGCAGACATACTAATCCTAATTATGGCTTGGAGGCTAACTTGTATAGATTGGCTGCAGTGCTTTCATATGATTAGGTATTCATTTAATTCTAGGTTGCTAGATACTATTTAAGACAATAATATAGATTTTTGAATTTCTTTTTTTTTGAATTTCTTGAATAGTGCCAAAAGAGTGCAGGGTTGGGCCCATTTTGGAACCTTACATTAAACTCTTCTAGCAAAGAGAGATATATGTTGTATTATTGATATTGTACATTGTTTTGCAAGTGAAAGTATAATAAATAAAATAAAACATAATAACTATTTGCTCTTTTAAAAAAAAAATTACCATAATATTGAAATAAATAATTTAGAAAATTATAATAATAACAATATTAAAAATCTTGAATATAATTATAATATTCAAATCAATGAAATTAATATTAAAAATACAAATATTAAAAAAAAATAATTCTGATAAAATTTTTGAATTGAAACTAAAATTACAAAATATTCAACAATATTTAAGTATTGAATTATTTTTTGAATATTTTAATAATATTACTATAAATTTAACTAATTTATTATATAAACAACAATATGAGAAAAAAAATACCATATACAAATCTTAATCAATTTATTAATATGTTATAATAAAGTAATTATTCTATTTAGAAATCATTTTTATATATATTTTATAATTCATTTAAATCTCAAAGTCAAACTTCTCAATATTTGAAAAACTTAAAACCAGAATAATAATAATATTTTATTATTTAGCTAGATTAAAAAATCATAAAATTACAAGTATTAAAAATAGATTAAAAGTTTTTTATTAAAATTTAAACTTTTAATAAAAGCAATTAATTTACAGTATTATTTTATTTTAAATATATAACAAGTTATAGTAAATTATATTTAAATATAATAGATTTAGAAAAATCATAAAAATAATATAAATTAATATTTTTAAAACAAATTAAATAATTATTTTATTCTTAATATTATTAATTATCATAATTGTTATCAAATTAAAATTTCTATAATAACTTCTAATAATAGAATATATTATATGACTATAACTTATATTTATTTTTTTTATAGTGTCATATATTGTTTCTACCTCAGGAGAAAGATAAAAACGGAGAACTAGTAGCAAGGAGGCACTTTAGATGGACAGGACCAATGTGGTATGCTAAAGTTCCTAGAGATGTACAAATTAGTACAGTTCTGAGGTGTATGAGGTCAGGCGAAAGAGG